CTGGTTTCCGGGCTGGTTTTTCGACATTGGATAATATTTTTGTTTTACATGCTTTAATACAGAAGTCTTTAAGGAAGAAACGAGGTAAATTTTACGCTTTCTTCGTTGATTTGACGGCGGCATTTGATTCGTTGGATAGAGATCTTTTATGGAGTCAACTTCTGAAGATTGGGTTGAGCTATAAATTTGTAAACTTTTTGATTCAGTTGTATACTAATACAGAGGCGTGCGTGTCTACTAAGGAAGGTACGACTGATCTTTTTTTCACGTTAAAAGGTGTGAAACAGGGTTGTGTATTGAGCCCAATATTGTTCAATTTATATTTGTATCCACTTGTAAGTAAATTGAATGATTCTAATTTGGTGGGCATTGATCTCTTGGGAACGGAAGTGAAAATCTTGACATATGCAGATGATTTGGTTGTTATGGCAGATTCGCCTATAGGTCTTCAGAGAATGATTGACTTTTTAGGACACACACTACAGGAGTTAAAATTGTCTGTTAATATTGATAAATCTAAAATAATAGTATTTCGGAATGGAGGAAAACATTCTAATAATGAGAATTGGTTTTTACAAAATCGCAAAATAGATGTTGTTGATGAGTACAAGTATCTGGGTGTAGTTTTCCAGTCTAATGGACGTTTTTTAAAACATTTAAAGTATATTCACAGTAAAGTGACTTTTGGAAATGATAAGATTATTAAAACGTGTGTATCTGGTAGATTGGTACGTTGGAAAGATAAATTAAAATTATTTGAGTCATTCATTCAATCAGTAGTGTTATATGGATCTGAAATTTGGGGTTTTGATTGGAGAGACAGAGATGATAACATACAAATCAATTTTATTAAGCGTTTATATTCTCTAAAGAGATGGATTCCATCGTATATTATATATTTGAAGTTTCAAAGAGTTCCCCTTTATTTTAATGTAATAAAAAATAATTTAAAATAGTTATGTAAACAGTCTTCCAGTAAACTTACAGAGTCCGCTAAAATTTTTTTGGTCTCTCAAAGAGTATCGTGGGGAGATCGAATTGTGTTTTTGTTGCAGAAATTCGATTATCAAAATGATCCGATAATGATAAAAGAAAGTGAGACTTCTGATATTTTAATGAGTTTGGCGAATAATTATATAACTGAGTTTAAATACAAGGTGGTTAATTACAAATATAATAAATGGTATTTGGATGTTTTTAATGAATGGGGGTCGATGACCTATCTGAATATAGAAAGACCTTTTTGTATTACCCAAGCAGTATTATATGTGAGATGTAATATGCTTAGAAGAATGTTAAGTCCACATATGGATTACTGTGAATTTTGTAACACTACTGTTAATTTTGATGCTTTTCATGTAATAACGGAATGTAAGGCGCTGACTGCACTCAGACAAAAGTGTTTTGG